CAGCGGTGCCCCATTTCCGGACACCACTGTCTTTTTCAGCTACGTAAAAAAATCACTTGAAAACTTACTGGCTTAAACAACAAGCATTTAATGCTGATAGAAATAAATTGCCTCTTTGAAGTCTTCACACTGTTGGTTATGTAGAACGGACTCCCTGCTTCATAATTAATCACTCAACAGACGGCTTCTCCCAGGTGGGATTTAACTTCACAGACTGTAAAGCACAGATGATTAGCGGGAACCAAATGGCGTCAGGGAAGCTGGAATTGAGACTTTTCCCCCTTCTCTGCTGTTGCCGTTGTCCATCTCCTGCTCCCCCAGAGCCCGACGAGGTCCCCAGCTGGCAGCAGTGATGCGACCTCACTTATGCAACATGCACAGGGTCCTGGCAATGTTATTTTTGCATGGGCGATGATGTGAGAAGTGGTGGTCGATTTGTTTTCTAAACTTTGTGAGTCTGCTGCTGCAACATTCAGACAAGTAGGACACAGGTTCAGGGTGGAAAAGGGGTGAAAACGGGATAGAGAAGCCGCTTTGGAGGTGCCGAAGGGGTGAATACCATTTCCAGAAGAAGATCTTCCAGGCTGAAGATTCTAAAAAGGAAATTTAGAACCTTGGGGCATTCTTGTGATTCCTCTGCCTGAGACTGAACCAGATATAAATGTGGAGGAGGAGAGTCTGGCATTTTATTTGGGAATTCATCATCTGACCCAGACAGGCTTCACAGTGAGTCCGTTAGCTTTTGCTGCACAGGCTACCCCAAGTCCAGGAGCAACAATCAACATTTCTCAATGTCTGTGGATGGGCTGGGAGTTGGATGGTCTAGCCTGGCTCAGTAATGGCTCTGTGGGCCGGCTATGGAGGCGGGGTCTGTCTAGGGCAGCTGGGCCCAGTGTTCCCGTCATCTGCATCTCTCATCTGACCGGAGAGACAACCCAGCTTCCTCTCCTCACCGCAGAGGCAGGGACAAGGATAAAGAGGGCCCGATGGCGTTGGCATGCTCCAAGCGTGTGCTCGTTTCGTGTCTGCTAACGTCGCACTGGCCGGGACCCAAGGCAAAGGACGTGGGCACAGGAGGGGGCGGGGAATTGATTCTGCAATGCAACCTGCTACCATCTGCGCCCACGGCCCCGCCACACATACACATGTAAAGTGTCCTCTCCACACCCCGCCAGTGCCCCCAAAGTGTGTTCCGACTGTGTCACCAGGCTGGAGTGGAGACCCAGGATCTCATGGTCCCATCAGGTTTAAATGGGATTTTCCCTGGCTCAGAGACCTAGGAATTTTTAGAAAATATTTTCTTTGTCTATTTTTTAGAGAGGTGAAGGGAGGGAGAAAGATCAGTGTGTGGTTGTCTCTCAAGCTCCCCTGACTGGGGACCTGGCCTACAACCCAGGCATGTGCCCTGACTGGGAATCAAACTGGTGACCCTTTGATTTGTAGACTGGTGCTCAATCCACTGAGCCATGCCAGCCAGGGTGGCCTATGAACTTTTAAAAAGACAACTACCTTAGTCAGTTCGAGCCACTGTAACAAAACCACAGACTGGGTGGCTTAAAACAGCAAACATTTATTTCCTGTAGTTCTGGGAGCTGGGAAGTCGAAGATCAAGATGCTCACAGATTTGGCATCGGTGAGCACGTTCCTCCCAGCTTGCAGACATCCACCTTCCTACTGTCACCTTGCATGGCGGCGGACAGCACTGGCTGGCTGGCTCTCTGGTGTCCCTTCTCCAAAGGGCACTACTCCCATCCCGGGGTCTCCACCTTTATCACCCAACTGCCTTCCAAAGGGGCCATCTCCAAATACCATCTAACTGGGGGTCAGTGCAATTTTGGGGGGACACAATATACAATTTATAATACCCACACAGACCCAATATACAATGGTGAGGCTGGGATAATGCCCACGTGAAAGGGGAAGAATGAGCAACACGGGTCACTGAATTGTAACAATTTTGATATTCTGTGGGGCCAATATTGCCAACTTTATCCACATTAAAGAGAAGAAAAATTCCCTGATTAGGCTTGGTTCTGAAACCTGGAAGAGGTTCACCAGGGCAGGGACTGGCAGACTTTTTCTACAGGGAGCCAGATAGCATATATATATTTTTAGGCTTCTGCCGTGGTCTGGCCGCAGAGGGTCAAGGGGTCCCACAGGTGAGGGTAGGCGTCGGCGCTGGGTAACAGATGACAACACGCCTCAAAGGACAGTGAAGCTCTGTTCTGTTTATTGCAAGTACAAGCAAAATTTTTATATTTTCATTTTAGGTAGGGATTAACATTTGCAGGTGTATAGCATGATCAGTTAAGCAGAAAAAATCAATACAAAGGTAACCAGGAAAAGTACAAGAATTTCTATAGTTTTGGTAACCAGGAAAAGTACAAGAATTTCCATAGTTTCAATTATATTATACAAAAATTGTTTTGAATAGGAGAACTATTAATCAGACAACTTGAAATAACTCTATGTACAGGGTTTGAATATCTTATTGTTTATTAAAGGTCTAAAATTTGGCATGGGGCAAAAGGTACGCTAGACCGAGCAGAGGTTAGGAAATTTATTATAAGGCCTTTGTGATGTCTTAGCTATTTATCTTTCTGTCCAAAATGTTTCTCTATGTACTATGGACTCTAACTCCTTGGTAATCGTATCTACGTGTTAGTATCTAACAAGCTTCTCCTGTTTCTATGTCTACTAAATTCTAATTAATATATATTCCTGTTCAAGGTAAAGGAGGGGCTGCTACTCCAACAACTTTTAGACATTCAGGGGCTATTTCATTAGAGGGGATTAACTTGGGGGAGCGCTCTGGATAATTCTGGCTCCCTGCCACCTGATGTTAACTTGTTCTGCATCTGCTTAACTGGGTCAGGGAAGGAAACATTCTTCCCCTTGGACTCACTGGACATTGTGGGCCTTTCCTCCTCTGGGCCCCCAGAGAGGGTATTATTTTGGGGAAAGGCCAAGGTGGCATAGTTCTCAGTCTGACCTAGTTGTCGATCAGCTCTGAGAATGGCCATCATTTCTAGGAGATTTCAAATTATCAGAAAAGTAAATGTCAGAACACCAAGAGACAGCAAGAACAGAATCAACACTATATATCCACTTATGCCACGTCCTCCAGGCCTGAATATGCTTCTCTGAAGCCATATTCCCCACATGCGGACTTTGTCAGACAGCATGGCTGGAGCTGGAACGGGACGTGGCGGCTTTGTGGGCCAAATACAGCCTGTCACATATTCCCGTTCTTTTTCACAGCCGTTTAAAAATGTGAAAACCGTTCTTAGTTCGGGGGCTGTCCTTGTCCATCGTTCTTCACAGGTGTCTGTGCTCTCTAACGTGTCCTTCTTTCTTTTTTAAAAATATTTTATTTATTTATTTTTAGAGAGGGGAAGGGAGGAAGAGAAGGAGGGAAAAAGACATCAATGTGCGGTTGCCTCTTGCACACCCCCTACTGGGGACCTGGCCCACAAATTGAACGGGTGACCCTTCGGTTCACAGGCCAGCACTCAGTCCACTGAGCCACACCAGCCAGGGCACGTTCTTCCTTATCTATCTCACTCCTTGACCACATTTGAAGAGAGCTTAGAAAAATATGTCAGCTTTTGGCTACAGAGCCTTTCTACTGGTAGAAAATTGGGAATCTGGGTTTTTTTTTGCACTTTGAACAGTCTTAGTCTCTTTTCATACAGGCGGGCAGCACTTTTACTAATACGGCTGCCTCAAAACTTTTGTGGGTTTCCCATGTATTTTATTCCATGCACTCACGTACCACGTAAGCACCACAAATCTTTCTGAGGTATGCTTAGCTCTCCAGACTCAATGCCCACTACTTTGGTCATATCCGGCTGCTGCGAGACCCATGCCCTCGGCATTCCCAGGAGCCTGTGACGGCCCCTGTGATCTCTGCCCCCAGCATTAGTCCTGAGACTGCATTACATTATATGGCACAGGGGAGATCATTCAGGTGCACCCAATCCATGCATGGCAGCCCCTTGAAAGCAGCTTTCTTTGGCAAGGAGCACAAGGGATGTCAGAGAGATTCAGAGGATGAGAATGATTCGACACGCTGTTGCCTGCTTTGAACATGGAGGGGACCACGTGCAAGGACCAGAGAGTGGCCTCAGGAGCTGAGAGTGACCCCTGGCCAACCAATGATGAGGGTCTCCCCACTATTACCGCTAGATGCACAAAGACTAACGCTAGAAACTCATGTTATCCATCTCACAATGACAACATGCAGTAGTAACTGCAGGTTCAAGTGTCTGCTGGGAAATAATGTTAATGCGACATGTATCAAGCGCTTACTTTGTGCCAAGCTCAGTGATGGATGGCTGTAGGGAAACAGATGACTTAGCACTTGCCCCGAGGGCCTGTAGTCTCATAGAGGTGCTTACACAGCGTGATGAAGAATGAATTCTTTCAGTATTATTCTCCGAGGGCGTACTCAGCGCCAGATGGAGGGAACAGTGCTGACGCGGACCTACAGTGGTCTGGTAAGGCGGGAGGCACACATCACCAAAACCCAAGGCGGAGTAGAACCTACCCTATAGTCAAAAGCAGCGGCGGAGGCTGGGCACGGTTGTAAAGAGAACAAGGCCATTAGCACCAGCACTGGGGTGTTGCAGTTCTCAACTAGCTTCAGGGAAAAGCAATTCCCCCTGGATTGAAATCCAGACCCTGGGTAAGCCACCTACTTGGTCGGTGCATGAAAAGATTCTAACAGTGCCAACTTGATTTGTTAATTTAAGACTTAGAACGTTAGTACTTAGAGCATGACACAGCAGGCGCTAGAGTAAGCTATTTTACTACACCGGTGCAGAGAAGGCGACAGGTTAGATGTGTTAACTCGGGCGGGAGACCTCACCGAGCCTGAGCGCTGCTGGGCGACAGGAGCGTGCACGTGCGAGCGCGCGTGCCAGTTCACACCAGCGGCGTGACCGTAAAGGAGCTCCGGCGTGTCGTAAAGGGGCCGCACACCAGCAGTGCCCTGGCAGACGGCTGGGAGTCCATTTTGGACGCCGCCTCGGCTGCGAAAGTTCGAAGAACCTGTTGCTCGTAACAGTGGCGGTTCCACCGAGACCAGCCCCTCGCTCGGCGCTCGCTCTCGGCCGGCTGGCCTCTCGAGCGCGGTGACCCGGCTGCCGGGCGGCGAGGGGCAGCTGCGGACGGCGCGATGCGGCCTCTGGACGCCGACGAGGAGCGGGAGCCCGAGCTGGACTGGGAGAGGGTCCTGAGCCCCGCGCTGCACGCCATCCGCCAGGACGTCACCGCCCTCGAGCGCGAGCACGTGCGCGCGCACGTGAGAGCCCGCCGGAAGCTATTGGAGATCGAGAGCCTGCTGGACGAAATCAAGAGCGAGGTGGAGGCCTCGGAGGAGAGCGCCCTGGACCCCGCCCGCAGCCCGGGAGCCGAGGCGGAGGAGCGGGTGATGAAGCTGTGCGAGAAGGTGGAGAAAAAGGCGGTGGAGGCCGCACTGATGGGGAAGCGGATCGTGGAACTCCACCAGCAGATAGACAGCTACGAGTGTTACTGAAGGAAGCGGGAGCAGGTGCGTCTTGGGGGGGGTGGCGGCTGGCTCGCTGGAGGGGGATTTGTAAGGAATGCCCTGCCCAGAAATGCATCGACGCTGGGCAGTGGGAGGCGGTGTGGGGCCTGGGAGGTGACTTTAGCTTAGATATCATTTTACTTTTCTCATGTTGGCGATGAGAAGTAAATAGTTTGGTGGGCAGTTTGGGAAACACACAGAGGAAATATTTGCAGAATGTGGACCAGCTCAGTCACTAAGGTGCAAACCTAGGTCACGGGGCAAAAGAAGAGACGCGAGGGAGAGTCGTGAAACTGAAGTCAGGCAGGAAACTTGCAGATACTTCGGTGAAATTGCAGCGTCTCCGGATGGCCCTGTGGCGAGTGGCAGCATTGCGCCCGGTGGTTGGGTGTGCATTGTGCTGACGCAGCTCCCCCGCTTGCGTTCTAGGTTACCTGTTGCTGGGCTCTGAGGCTGGTAAGGAGGACTGACTGCTTGGAGAGGACGAAACCACGAGGCTGTCTTTCCCTCGCCCCTGTTTTTGTGTCTGCGTTTTCATCATGGTAAACGCACCATCTCCAGTACCATTCTGGTAGATGAATTCAGTATTATATTGTCATATGCAGAATATGATCGTAAGGTGTATTCGGCTTGGAAAAGACAGTTTAGATACGTTTTATTTTCTATTAAATGCTCTTATGTTAAAAAAGAAAAAAAAAGAAACAGGACCTAGGTTGGAAGCTGCTTTGTGGTCATTATTGTTTTTGTGACTCGTATTTTTAAAGTTTGCAAGTATACACTTGTGCTTTGCTATTTTTTTATGCTTCCTGGAATTTGGGGACCCATGAGAGACTTGAGGTCAGAGTTCTGCAAGAGAGAAGGCGCACCTTGGCTGCAGCTGCTGAAGCAAGACCCCAAACCCAAGTGGAGGGTGTGGAGACCTCTTGGACACGACTGAGGTGGCCCAGAGGACGGCTGGGCGTGGAGGACGGTGGTGAACGAATTTTGGGACTGTGCAGTCCGTCAGATCAAAGGAAGGAGGCTGTGTTTTTTTTTTTCTTTTTTTTCAGAACTGTAATATTTCTGTGGCACGTTAGTTGGTGCACATCATGTAACCCGTCTGGTGAGTAACCTAGGCTAGCGGATGAGTTCGAGTTACTGTGTGTGTTTGCTGACTTTTTGGTATAATACAGTCACGCATTTCAGGGGTTCTCTGCCAGAATGCACCTAACCTTGCGGGGTGGGGGTGGGGTTCGGGGAGGAAGGATGGAGCTGGCGGCCACAGTGGGCCCCGGACTGATCGCTGGAGGCCCCTTTAGGCGTAGGTGGTTCCCATCCTGGCCATCAGACCTCAGGCTTATGATGAACTTTATTTCCCTGGGAGAACAGACGCTGAAAGCCAGTTTCTAGAATCTTTGTACCAATGACCAAAGCCATTGACTTGGCCAGGAAAAAGGTGAGATAAATAAATTTCTTTCAAAATGGGAGTTGCTCGCTGATCATTATTGTGAAGTGGAGGTCAGATGCATATTTAGTAAAATGTTCAAAAGCCCATGGAGCCGGGAGGTGGGTATGAGCAGCAAGGACTGTAGCGGGAGGGGAGGGGGCAGAGCAGGAAGGGGCCTTCTGGGAGAATCTGGCCTGGCCCCGCCAGCAAGGAGCTGAAGTCCACGTGGTCACTTACCCCTGGGACGCTGTGCCATTCCACACCACTGAGCACGGGCTTCTGGGAGAGGCGATCTAGCATCCGAGGCAGGCTATGAGTGTGCAGTGGCAGTGGGCTCCCCCTATGCTGATTGTGGGTCCGGCACAGCCCCAAGGCCTGGCACCTGGCTGGGCGGTGCGCAGACCCTGGGCTTGTGTGCGTGGGTCTGACATTTGCAGGCTTGGAGTGAGCGGGCCACGGTGAGGCAGGAAGTAAGGTTACGTGTCAAGTCATCACTAAGTCCGGCAGGAGAAACAGGAGGGGGTGTCACCGTCCACACCGAACAGGCAGGTGGCACCTTGGCAGTGACTCTTCAGCAGAGGCGCGTGGGACACACAGGGATATCCGGGGAGGTGTTCCAAGCAGGTGGGAAGAGTGGGGCACCCAGGTGGTAGGGGCCAGTGGGAGATGGCGAATGGGAAGGAGCGGGCATCTGAGTGACAGGGTGTCTGACCACACAGGAAGAGGCTCAGTGGCTGCTGCTTCAACCACTGACTGGGAGTGGAGCCAGGGTGGGAGCCGGGAGCCAGCCAGGGACACTGGTCATTGCAGGCACTAGTCTGTGTGCCTGGCTCTCTGAAGGTGTTGCCCAAGGCACGTGCCGAGGGGCTGAACGGGGACCGGCAGGGGGCTGGCCCTGGGTCCAAGGCTCGCTGCCTGCGCTTCTCCAGGGTAGCCGACTCACCTGTCAGACAAATCCGGGCAGTTTTGCAAGTGCAAGGTGGCCCTGGGAATACTCGGGGACCACAACCATATATAGGCCGGGGCTGCAGCTGGGGTGGGGTGGGGGCACTGAGAAGGGAGTCAGCTGAGCATCCGGAAGTTGGAGAACGCTTTTCAGACCCACTGCCCCTTGGTCTGGGCCTGGAAGCATCAGCACCCAGGCCCAAGGGACACAGGTGCAGAACTGGCCCTTGTCCAGCTGGAGAGGGCTTGTGGGTGTTGGGAGGGACCTGGGAGGGACCTGGGAGGGGAGGAGGGAGGGAGGCGGTGTAGCCGTGGAGGCCTTCCTGTGACTTTGAGGAGTGTGTCCATTCTCCACCTGGGGTCTTCGCGCTCTGGGACCTGAGGCCCAGGGGTGTACCGGTCCCTTCTGAACTGCCGGCTTACTTGCACATTTGACAGGAAAAAGTTGTTTTTACTTGATGACATACCTCTGGCTAAAGAGGACTCACTCTTGGGGCTGCTTCTGGACCCCCTGGAGCAGAGCTGTTCAAAGTTCAAGTGCACCTGAGCCCCTGGGGTCCTACAAGAATGCAGGTTGTGGTCCTGGGGTCCGGCCCCTGCTGCTCTGCGTTTCTAAGAGGCTGGGGTGATGCCGCCCTGGGGTCGGGCACCACATGGAGGGCAGCTCCTGGGTTTGCTAAAGACTGAGGCAGGGCGGCTGCTTGGCGGAGGGGACCGCCAGGGTGGCTGTGGCAGACGGGCAGGGCCGGTGTGGGGTGGGCCCACAGAGGGCATCGGTGGACGCTTAGGGTCCATTGTTTTGTTTGTGTACTTTCCTATACTTACAGCACTGAGTAAAATACTACAGTAATTATCATTTTATAGTAAAATAGTGAAAAATGGAAAAGAAGGTTATGGGTAAGATGTTGACAGTCTTCAAAACGGTCGCCCCGCTGCCCGCTGACTCTGCAGTCCTGCCTGCGGGTCTGGGGCTTCGTCTGGGAATGAGGGGCGCTGGCGCTGCAGGCAAGTGACCTGGGGGCTGAGCACTCTCTCCCGCCGTGTTCTCACCACTCTTTGTGAGGCCCGTGCCCCTCACTTTGTGGGTGAGAGTGTGGGGGGCAGAGAGGAGCAGCCTCCTGACCCAACCCACATGGTAGGGTGGGGGTACGGCGGGAAAGCCGGGTGCTGGGTCCCTTGGAGCCAGCGCGCCCGCGCCCTCATCCCTTGGCTCCTCTGCTGGCAGCGCTGCCCTTTGGGGAGTGGCCGTCCCACCAAACCCCGTTCTGGGAGGAGGAGGGGTGAGCTCCACTGGGGCTCCAGGTCCAAGGCAGCTTCTCCATGAGCTGAGTTCCAGCCCCTGGCTCCGGTGCCCCCCCCCCCACCACCTCCCACGTTCTGTCTACACCAGGGGGGTGGGCTGGGCTGAAGGCCCCTTCTCCCCCCTTGTAAAGTTCCTGGCATGTTGGACAGGAAAACTGAGGGGAGAGTTTAATCTCCCTCTATGACGAGTCCCTGTGGGAATAAACGTGAACTAAAACTACGTGTGATGTAGGCATTTTCGGATTCAAAGTAGACCAGCTGTCGTCTCCTTTGTTTAAAGGTTTCTCTTTGCTGCGCTCCACGGGGGTCCATGTCTTTAAGGGGGTCCACGTCTTTAAGGGGGTCCATGTCTTTAAGGGGCCCCCTCCACATTTCTGAACGAGTTAGGAATGCTTAGGGACCGGGTGCTGGTCTCACCACACAAAGGGCTCCAAGGTCCTCCAAGGTCCCGAAGGACAGAGGGGTGCAGCTTGCACTCGATGGCATTGACACCTGCCTTGGGACCCACGCGGGGATTCGGGACCTGCGGATCGGTCTGCCCTGACCGTCTTGCCCGTCCCAAGTGGCCAGAGCTCCGGAGCAACTGCAGTTCCCACATTTTGTGTTTGACCTCTAGCCCCCTCCCTGCCACAGGGCTCCAGTGTCCCTCGGCGGGTCCTGGGTGACAGCAGTGCCTTTTGTTCTGAGTGACTTGGTAGGCTTCCGGGTGGGGCTGCTCGCCCACCCAGAAAGGTTACGATCCTGCAGCCGTGACTACAAGCCTGGCGTGTCCCGCCCATCCCCCACTCTGCAGAGGGGACAAGGGCTGGGGACGGAGCTGATAATCGCTGCCGCCCTGTGATGAAGCCTCTGTACCACTGGAAGGCTGCTGGGCCAGGGAATGCATGCCCGTGCCGGGAGGGTGGGGACCCCTGTGCCGCCTCATTTGTCTGTTTGTGTCCTTTGTACCACACCAGTGAACGGGTGTTCCCCTGTGCTCCGAGAGCCGGCTAGCGGGGCGTCAGACCCAAGGAGCGCAGCGTGGGGACCTGAGTCACAGCTGGTCTGTCAGAAGGACAGGTGACAGCCCCAGGCTTGTGATCAGTGTCTGATGTGGGGGCAGCCTTCTGGTGCGGACCCTTGTCCTGTGGGGCCTGGCGCCGCTTCTAGGCAGCTGGTGTCCAGGGGGTGCTGGGTCCCTTAGACCCGCACACGTGTGTGCCGTGCGATGTGATGTGACGTGGGGTGTGGGAGTGAAGGGGAAACACGGTGAGTTTTTCTCCAGGTCAGTTTTAGCCTCCTGTAATATTGGACACAGCTAAGTGTCCAATAGTTAGTGGGTGAGTTGTAACAAAACCGAAAGCTCTGCAAAAGTTCAAGTTTAGGTAACTGGTAAATTACACCAGTAATGTAACATTCTATTTTCTTAACTCCTTAGTTTTAAAACAATTAACCATTAAAAATACATTTTAAATGTATTGTTAAAATTAAAATATATCACTTAATAGAGAAAATTCGCACTCACCCAACCCTGCGTTTTAATTGCAAACATAAGTTGGAATCCCGAGTGGCCCCGTGGGCTGCAGACCTCAAAGCGAGGTGTGTGTCTTCTCCTCACGAGGACCCTGCAGAGCATGGGTGCGGCGGCCTCCAGCTGGTAGCAGCGTCCTCCGGCCCTGCGGTCGGAAGTTTCCGAATCGACTCCTGGGTAGAAGAAATGCTTGCGGAAGGGGAAGCATCGTTCGAATGAGCCAATACCAAGCTTGCACGTTGTGTGGGTCTCCTGTGGCTGTTCCGACAGATGATCACAACCCGAGACCCACCTTCGGCCCATGGCAGGTCTGGAGGGAGAGGTCCAATGGGGAAGTCGGCAGGCTGTGGGCCTCCAGAGGCTTCCACGGAGGATCTGGGCCCTTGTCTTCCCCGGTTCCTACAGGCGCCCCTGCCCTTGGGCTCCTGGCACCTTGCTCACACTTCCACCTCCTTCCCTGACTCTGACCCCCTCCTCCTCTTACAAGGTCACGTGTCCCCATGTGGATAATCCAGGGTCACCTGTGTCATCAGTCCCACCTGAAAAGTCCCTTTGGGCACGAAGGTGGGTGATCCCAGCGGTAGGGGTTAGGACTTGGACACCTGGACGCGTCCCTCAGCCCTGGGCGCACATGTCCCCAGAGGGGCTCTAGCCGGCGTGTGCTGTGGGTGGGAGTTTGCCACTTCTCTGGCTGTGTGAGCAGCTCCTGAGCAGTGGTGACGGGCAGACCCAGTTGGGTTTATTGGCCTTGAAGGCCCCCTGGACATGGTGCGCTTCATTCTGCCTGTCTCCTGGTGAGTGCCCTGCCCTGGGCCCACTGTGGCCCCCACCCTGCACGCGTTTGCCCACCGTGGTCCCCCCAGGAGAGCTGTAACGGTTTCCTTTCCCGTCCGTCCAGACTGGCAAAATCAAAGGTGCAGCCCTTAGCCAGTTTGTCCTCCTCCAGCAGCCCCAGGGCGACGTCAGCTGAAACCGGGCGTTCTGCTGCATGAGCGCCAGCGAGGCGGGAGCTGGCGTTCCCTCGAGTCTGAGACGCAACAGTGCGTCCTGCACCCAGTGAAGTGAGGCGCCGCGGGGGCAGGAGTGGGAACTCGGAGTGACCGGCTCGGCTCTGAACCCTGCGGGGGCGGGGAGCAGAAAAAGGGATTTATTTGTCTCTATGCCCCTGGAGGGGTGCTGGGGGCCCAGTGGGGGCGCAGCCCGGGGATACCTGTGAGTCGCCTGGGGCGGGGCAGGACTGAAGCCACTCGCACACTGTGGTGCTGGTGAGCCCGGGCCCCTCT